GTAATCCCCTCCCTTGATGTAGGCTGTACTTACTGACCTACTTTTGAAGAACAGAATATGGCTGAAAGGACAGGATGTCATTTCCAAGATGTTGTTGTTAGGTGCTGTCGAGTTGTCTCCGACTCATAGCGACCCTTCTGTGCAGCAGCTGGTGGGTTGGAACCACAGACCTTCTGGTTAACTGTCAAATGTCTTAGGCGCTGTGCCACCAGAGTTCTTTATTTTCTTCTGTAGTATCCCTTGAACATAACTGAGAAAGCAGGAGTCATTCTACTTCTCTTCTCTTGCAGGTATCAGAGTAAGGGCAAGGGTCAGCCGCAGAGGCAGAGTGGCAATGCTTCATCTAGTCCCTGACAGATCACAGTTAGCCATAATCTTTGCTGAACACTTGGTAACTTGCTGGCCATTTCCATTCTCCCCAGCTAATGGTTTCAATACCTGTTAGAAATTGATACAGTGGATAATTAAAATCTCTGTTCATAGTATAAGGAAGGTCAACTAGATGAAGCATTAAATCCCCATTCCAAGTGGAGTCCTGGGCAACTTTTCTGAAAATGAAGGCTAATGCTGTTTCCTCCAGATTTGCTAGCAATTGGCTAGACTGATGTTACATTATGGCTGTTGAACAGATTAGAAAAACCTTAGTGTTATTTTCACATTCCAGGTTCATATAGGAAGAGAAAATAGAAGGCACCCCAGTGACTTCCTCACCAAATGCCCCTGGATTGAGGGAAGGCCCTTTTGAGCCAAGTGTCATTGGACAAATGCTTGATAATTGGTTCTTATTTCCGTCAACAGTGCTGTCCGGCAGAGACAGGGCTGAGCTGGCCTAGCTTGCAGAAAAGAATATTTTTCTAATCTCTTTGAAGAACACTTCAGCGCAAGAAGAAGAAAGACTCTTATGTGTCCATGTATTTACCTTAGAAGTGAGAGTTCAAACGCCCTTTCACTGTGCCTTACCACCTTTCTTTCCAAATAGAAAGATTGCACATCAATCTTTTGAGTTATGTTAGAATGTCATTTTGCAGTTTAAAAAATCCTTTCCTATATAGCTCTAAATTGCCTCTTTATTTTCCTTTCATAGATCTACTACTATTGCCTCTTTTGACATTTAAAATCTTACAGTTAGGTTGTTTGGACTTGCATTTTGTAAAGCAATACTCCTGAGTTTGGTCATCAGATATCTTCCCATACATTTTAATTATTAGGGTTGGGCTGTGTTTTGCCTTCCCAATCTCTGAGGAAGTCACAACGTCCTTCACTACTCTGTTGACTTGCCATCAACCTCTGAGCTGATCACAGGATCTATTTAGTTGGCCTAGAAAGGAAATACAGTATCAAACACGCTACTATGATTAGATATTGCAATATTAAAGTAGTGTAATTATAACATTAGAAAGGCAGTTAAAGAAAGGTTCCAAATTAGGCTGCCCTAAGAAATACAGAGGAGCTCTGGTGGCGCAGTGCCTAAAGGACTTGACTGCTCACCAGAAGGCTGGAGGTTCAAACCCACTAGCCACTCCTCAGACAGAAGGTTGGGCAATCTACTTCCGTAGTGACACTGCCTCGGAAACCCAAGGAGGGGTCGCTATGAGTCGGATCCGACTCGACAGCAGTGCATAAGAAATAGAAAACACTAGTTTTAGTGTCACTGTTGGAAGAGATTTTAATACTAATGGCAAAACCCTAACTCATTAGAAGCTGGGCTGCTTCCTCGCACAGCTACGCTTGCTACAGCAGATTTCATCCAATGAAATTATAAAACAGAATGTGACTCTAGAGCACGACCTGCAACCACTGCTGTTCAGTGTCCCAAACGTGTTTTAAGGAACCCTCCACCATGAAAAGATAAGGAAAGATCTTTGTTAGAGGAGTTGTTGTTGTTAATTGCCATCGAGTTGGCTCTGATTTACGGGGAGTCTGTGTACAGTATTCCAAGATGTTGCCTGGTCCTGTGCGACCTTCCTGATCACTGACATGCTTGAATCCATTGTTGTGGCCATGGTGGATTCTGAGTGTTTCCAATCTGCAGGCCTCATCTCCAGCACTGTATCGGACAGTATCCTCTGGTAATCTGTAGGGTTTTCATTGGCTCATTTTTGGAAGTAGACGACCAGGCCTTTCTTCCTTGTCGGTCTTAGTGTGAAAGCTCTGCTGAAACCTGTTCACCATGGGTGGCCCTGCTGGCGTTTGAAATGCCAATGCCATGGCTTCCAGCATCATAGCAACAAGTAAGCAACTGCAGTTCGACAAACAGAGAGGTGGTGGTTAGAGAAACCAAGAGAGGATTTAATTGGAGGCAAATGTGACAAAAGCTGTTGTTTATTTGGTTGGTTGCTTGGTTGGTTTTTCCCCTGCAGATCAGCCCCGTGACTCAAGGATTAAAACGATGTTTTTAACAAACTCAAGTAACTGTTTAAATAGATATTGGCTCTACAATTTGAAATGACTCTTTGCAAGTAGAAAAATCACTTGGAATTTATTATGAAGTAATGTATCTCTAAATAAACTTCTAACTGGATTTTTAAAAATTGCTAGCCGTTTTAGGCCTTCATAAAAAGAAAATAAAGTTATCTGATTACATAATTGGGGCATTTTCTATTCCCAATTCTATTCTTTCTTTTGAGGCCATTTCAAAGTGGCTTAGATTTTTATTTTTTCTTCTTACAGCTGGGTTAGGAATTTTAATGTGTCCAAAACATTATGGTGCTCATTATTCTTGTCTGGCAGGTTATAATTAAATAATAACAGATGAGTGAAAAACAGAAGAAATGCATGTCCCTCTTCCTGATGATAAATAACATATTGGAATATTTTATTTCAATTCAGATAACTTCATTTCTTCATTAAATGGTAAAACTAAAGTCAATCTAGGTTATGTTCCAGGCAATTTACGGGACATTACTACGGACAAAAAGACTTTAAATGCCATGCATACAATAGACATATTTTGAAAATTGGCTCCCATTTTCAAATGAGCAATGTAGGCTGAGTAATGCTTCTTCCTGAAGTTCTTGATAGGAGAAAAAAAAAATCTGTGTAAGGTGAAATCATGGGTGGAAACTCCTGCTAAGATACCGATGATTATTTGGTGACATAACTCGGTTAGAGTGGCAGACAGACTCTAAGATGCTCTGCAATGATTCCTGCGTCCTGGTATTCACAGCTTTGTATAACCCCCTCTCTTTTAGTATGGGTAAGACCTGTGATGTTTCTAACCAGTAGAATAAGGCAAAGGATGTCCCTTCCTTTGTTACAGAAGATGGTAACTTCTATCTTGCCCTCAGACTCTCTTCCTTGGTGGCTTTGATGAAGCAAGTTGTCATGTTGGAGAGGACCACATGGCAAGGAATTGAGGGCAGCCTCCAGCCAACTCCTAGCTAGGAAGAGGGGCCGTCAGTCCAACAGCTTACAAAAGACTTGAATCCTGCCGAAAACAATGGAAATGAGTTTAGGTGGATACTTCCGCAATTGAGTTTTCAGATGAGACCCCACCACGGTGTGATCCATACATCTCCTTGAGATGGACACCCAACTTACCTTCAACCCTCCATCCTATGCATTCGTCTGCAGGGAACATTCTCACCTACGCTCTCTTAAAGGCTAGTGGGAGTTTTGTTTCATGCTATAAAGCCAGGTTGGAATTGCCAGATTACAGTGTTTGTGACTCTGAAGTTGACCTAGTGGTGCCAGATCTCTTTCTGGAACCAGTACACGTGTCTACACACCCACCAACAATGTATGATCCTTCTGCATATGCACTGACTTGTTACTCGATTACCCTGATGCTCTGTTGCTACATCTAAAGAGGATAATGGCTGTCTACTCCAGTTACTGGGGCTCTCTGGCAACTCTTGGCAAGAAGAAACTCCTAAGACCAGATGGGCCATTGTCAACAGTGTGTTCCCCTCACCCTAACAGTTCTGATTCTTCCTTGAATTATAGTTCTTGTCCTCATTCTCCTGCTCCATTGATTCCTCTACCTGACAATCCCACTGCTGCTGTGACTAGTCAGTAGAACATGGCCCGTCACAGCCAGGCATAAGTGGGCCAAGCCTCGAAGCAGGCGGTGCTAGAAATGCAATTTCCAGTGACTTCTTCACAAGTTCAGCCTTGTCTACAGATCCCCTTCACCTTGCACATTTGGGCAATAAATCACAAAAGCAGGTAATTAATTATAACCCAACGTAGAAAAAATCAGCTATTCACAGAGTGGCAACTGACCTTTCTCCTACTTGTGATAAAAAAAGGAACAAAGGAAGGAAGGAAGAAAAACGATTGTAACTTGTAATATGATTTGTCCCTCAAGGCTTTGAGTTATTTCAAAGGCTTGGCTGATTTGGAGGAAATTAAATAAACCATTGCATTCCGTTGTTCTGCTTTAAGCTACAAAGCATTCCCAATTGTGAACAGTATTTCCCAACTGGTGCCTGTCTGAAATATTTATCGGCCCAGGGTCCCACACACTGGTACTGCTTGCACTTAATAAGCCACATAGCATGGAAGATGATGTTTGCTAGGGGATGCTTTTGGATAAGAAACCTACAATGATATTTCTCTTTCATGATATTGACCCTGAGAAGATAATCACATTCAACAAAATGATAGAATTTTAAAAATCTCTCCCCTGATCAGAAAACCGCAGAGAAATGTTTAAGCAACAACAAGTGTAGGGACTAGTTGAGTGATGCTTCTAACACCATCCACCTGGGCAGAGTTTTATTGTAGGATCCTGCTGTTAGATGGCAGGCAGATAATGGTACCCAATGTGAACCACATAGGAAGCTTCCACTCGGGTTGTTACATTTGGGAAACACTTGATTTTGGTTCTACTGCAATCTGAAAGCCCACTTCTGAGCATTTTGATTTACTCTGCCCCTGGAGCCCAAGAAACATTTCACCAACGCATCCACACATTTCATTTCAAAAGGAAACTGCCACTGGTGGAGTCCAGGCTCCGTGCATTTCATAAATATGTTTGTTTTTCTTTTCTCTTCCAGAAGCTGCAAAGAATCGATACTCCTCACTGTCATTCAGCCTTATCCTGTAAGTGTTCTGTGAGTTAAAAATGTCACTATGTGATCTCAGGTTCTAGTCCCTTTCCACCATTTTCAATGCCCATTCCAGTAAAATCGCAACAGTGAAGACCAGCACACAAAAATAGCATTGCTCACAATATACCTTTAGAAATCTCGATTATTCGCACTTTATAGTCCATGTGTGCAAAGCCAATGATCGGAGAAAAGAGGAAGCAGTGCATTTCCCAAATATCTTCAAAAACAATCAGCTCTTCAGGCCTGTGATGCTCTGGAAATGACACAAAACTCAAGACTTGCTTATAGTTTTCAGCATAAGCATCACAGGTCTAGTAGGAATACCTCATTGCAGGTGGTTGGCGCATAATTAGTCTTCTTATCCCCATCTAGGGAGCTCTGGTAGCATAGTGGCTAAGACACTTGCCTGCTAACCAGACAGCTGGCAGTTCAAACCCACCAGCCACTCCTCGGAAGGAAGGTTGGGCAATCCTACTTCCGTAGTGATACTGCCTTGGAAACCCAAGGAGGGGTCGCTATGAGTTGGGGCCGACTCGACGGCACATAACAACAACAACAACAACATCCCCATCTAAATAATTTGGTCTCATAGAGACCCCCTTAGGGCTTCCAGGGCAGTAAATATTTATGGAAGTAGATTGCCCAGTCTTCCTTCTGCAGAGTGTCTGGTGGGTTTGAATCGCCAACCTTCTGGTTAGCAGTCAAATGCCTTAGACACTACACCGCCAGAGCTCCAAATAATTTGGTAGAGAACTGGATATGTATTTCTTATTTAATTAACTATTTAGGGAGCCCTGGTGGCATAAACAATTCACCACTTGACTGCTAAACAAAAGATTGGCGGTTCAGACCTACCTAGTGGCTCTGAGGGAGACAAGACCTGGCAATCTGCTCCCATAAAGATTATAGCCAAGAACACCTTACAGGGCAGTTCCTCTTCTTCTTCTTTTTTTTACACCCATGCTAATATGTGTCTGTCCTCTACTTACTGGTCTATCCTCCCTTCCCCACCCACCCCTGGTAACCATCAAAAGAATTTATATTTTTTTTGTGAAACCCTTTTCTGGACTTTTTACAATAGTGCTCTCCTATAATGTCTGTCCTTCTATGATTGACTAATTTCGCCCAGCATAATGTCCTCTAAGTTCATCCATGTTATGAGATGTTTAGCAGATTCATCATTCTTCTTTAACATTGCATATAGTATTCCATTGTGTGTCTTTACCATAGTTTGTTGATCCATTCCTCCTTTGGTGGGTATTTAGGTTATTTCCATCTTTTTGCAATTGTGAGCAGTGCTGCAATGAACATGAATTTGCATATGCCTGTTCATGTCACAGCTCTTATTTCTGTAGGATATAGACCTAGTAGAGGGATTGCTGGATCATATGCTATTTCTATTTCTAGCTTTTTAAGGAAGCAGTATACCATTTTCCAAAGTGGTTGCACCATTTTACATTCTCACCAGGAGTATATGATGGTTCCAGTCTCTCCACAGCCTCACCAACATTTGTTGTTTTCTGGTTTTTTTTTTTTTGTACTTTACTATTAGCACTTGGGTGAGATGGTGTCTCATTGTTGTTTTGCTTTGCATCTCTCTAATGGCCGATGAAGGAGCTCTGGTAGCCTAGTGCCTAAGGCACTTGACTTCTAACCAGAAGGCTGGCGGTTCAAACCCACCAGCCACTCCTCGGAAGGAAGGTTGGGCAATCTACTTCCATAGAGATACTGCCTCAGAAACCCAAAGAGGGGTTGCTATGAGTTGGGTCCGACTCGACGGCAAATAACAACAACAAACAACAATGGCTAATCATCACGAGCATTTCTTCATGTGTTTGTTGGCTGCCTGAATGTCTTCTTTGGTTCATGTCCTCTGCCCAGTTTTTTACTGGATTATTTGTCTTTTTGTTGTTACATTGTTGAAGTTTCAATTCTACTCTGTCATACGTGGGGTCGCTATGAGTCGGAATTGACTTAACAGCACCTAACAACAACAATGACAGCATTTATTTATTTATTTATTTGATAAAGATGAGTATTAGAGGAAATACGGCTGTGGGAATGTGATTTCAGCAGCCTTGTAAGGAGGGTGAAGCAGGGTTAAAATCCTATTGCCTTCAGTTCCATTGATTGTTTGTTTAAGCAACTTTATGGAGGTGTAATTTGCATACCCTAAAATTCACCCATTTAAAGTATGCAGCCCCATGATCTTTAGAAAATTTCCTGAGGTCAGCAGCCAACACCACGACAGCTTTAGAACATTCCCATCAGCCAATAAGATCCCTCATGTCTGTTTCTGACTAATCCTCACTCCTACCCTCAGTCCCAGGCAACCACTGTGATTTCTTCTATAGATTTGCCATTACTCATGAATGTCACACATTGTCTATTGAACTAAAAACAACGCTACAGCAAATTCCTTCCAATTTTTCCCCAAAACGTTTCCTGTCAGTACTCTACCTGGCCTTCCTGTGGAGTGGCAGAGATTCTGCATAAGCTTCCGTTTCTTCCTCTCTCAGAGTTGGAGTGTTTCTACATTTCTTCAAACCAAAAAACCCAAACCAGTTGCCGTGGAGTCAACTCTGACTCCTGGTGGCCCCGTGTGTGTCATAGTAGCACTGTGCTCCATCGAGTTTCCAAGGGCTGGTTTTTCGGAAGATAACCAGGCCTTTCTTACAAGGCACCTTTGGGTGGACTCAAGCCTCCAACCTGCTTGCACCACCCAGGGACTGCTCATCAATTGAGGGCCCCCATATTTGCCGGTCTCTGACCCAACTCTTAGCTGTTCTGGTGGTACAGTGGTAAAGGCATTCATCTGCTAATCAAAAGGTCAACAGTTTGAACCCACCAGCCATCCCCTGGAGAAAAATGAGGCAATCTGCTTCCATAAAGATTTACAACCTTGGAAACCCTATGGAGGGGCACTATGAGTTGGAATCGACTTAATGGCAGTGGATGGGAGCCAACTCTTCATCTTCCAGAATTTTCCTTCCTTGGTATTGTGGACTAAGCATTTTAGGCAGGAAAAAATGTTTATCCAGGATTCGGATAAAACCATGAATAGAACTAACCATGACAACAAATCATGCCATCTGGGACAGAACTATGTATATTAAAAGCTCATTTTAATATTGACTGTTACTTTTAGTCCCAGTTCTTTGACACAACTATATACACACACACATTTGAATTTGAAAGCTAAGGAGACAACAGGGTGCTATAGAACCGAGATTTCAGATCCAGCTCCTAGCAATATAACTGCATTGACACTCATACCTGATCTGAACCCAGATACCTAATCTACATAAGGAAGGGTCCAATAACGTCACATCCAAGGGTCTCCCTGCTCTACCATCTCGTGATATCTCCATTCCTTCAGTGTGTTTCAGGGTGGTTTTATTTATTTATTTATTTCGAGTCATATGTTTTATTTTTTTTGAACATTTTGTATGCTTAGGTGAAAGTTTACATAACAAATTAGTTTTCCAATCAATAGTTCAAACACAAATTGTTCCATATCATTGGTGGCAGTCCCCACAATGTATCAGCACCCTCCTCATTTTGTCCCTGGCTTCTCCATTTCCATTCATCTGGTTTCCCTGACTTCTCATTTTTTTATTTTGGGCAAATTTTGCCCTTTTGGTCTCATATAGTTGGTTGTTCTAAGGACTACATTCTTCACAGGTGCTACTGTTTATTTTATAGGCCCATCTATGATGTGGTTGAGAGGCACCTCCGGGAGTGTTTTCAGTTGCAAGTTAGAAGGTTATCTTAGGGCAGTAGGCTCAGGAGTTCCTCCAATCTATCTCAGACCAGTAAGTCTAGTCTTTTTTTATTTTATTTTATTCATCCTTTTTAATTGTTATATGGGTGAAAGTTTAGACAGCAAATTCACTTTCCATATAGCAGCTCACATACACTTTGTCTCATGACATTGACTACAATTTACCACAATGCAACAGCTCCCCTCCCACTTCCTCCCCATTGTTACCTCTTCCCTGTGTCCTTCCCTCCATGGGCTCCTGCCCCCTGAGCTGTCTCCCTATGCATAAGCAGCCCTTCTTTCTCCCATGATTGTTCTCTCCAAGGAGTGTATCTACTTGAGGTATACATATTCATATACCTGTCTTGTTTGGCTGGAAGCCACAGGTATGGGTTCAATTCCAGACCTGAAGGGCAGCTAGGGGCCATAGTCTCAGTGGTTCCATCAGGCTCTATCCAGACCAGCAAACCTGGTCCCCCCCCTTTTTTTTCCCAAATGATTTTGAGTTTTGTTCCCCATTGTTTTCCCACTCTATCCAGGATCTCCTACATAGACACCCTCCAAGTTTTATTTTATTTTTTAATTTGAATTTTGTTCTAAGCCTAACCCATGTTCATCACAGCATTATTTAAGGTAGCAAAAAGATGGAAACAACCTAAATGTCCAGCAAGGGATGAATGGATAAACAGATTGTGTTACATGCATACAATGGACTTCTACACAACCATAAAGAAAACAGTGAATCCACAAAACATCTCACAATGTGGATAAATCTGGAAGATATTATGCTGAGTGAAATAAGTCTATCACAAAAGGACAAATATTATATAAGACCACTATTATAAAATGTCAAGAATAAGTTTATACAGAGAAAGAAATATTCTTTGATGGTTACCAAGTATGAGAGGGGCAGGAAGGGAGAACCACTAACTAGATAGTACCTCAGGCACTACGCCAGCAGAGCTCCCACTAGGTCGTACACAAGTGCTAATTATGGTGAAGAGAAAGGCAATACACAATATGGGGAAGTCAGCACAACATGGCCAAAGTATAAAGGAGCACAGTTAGAGGTACACAAAAATAAAGGGCCACCCATCAGCCACGCCATGGAAGGAAGACAGGGCAATCTATTTCACTGAAGATTTACCACCTCAGAAACCCAATTGGGATTCGCTGTGGGTCAGAATCGACTCGATAGCAGTTTTTGTTGTTGTTGTTGTTGTTTGGAC